ATCTGATTATCGCGTTTTCTTTATCACATTTGTACGTAATGAATAAATAAATTGGAACGAGGATGTATAGAAAATAGTATTTATTAAGGGTCGTCCTTCTTTATCGTCCTCATCCTGCCAACCCTCCTGTTTTTCCTCCATCCATCCATCCTTCCTTCCTTCTTTCGTTCTGCGGTTATCTCCTCCTGGCATCTCGGAGGAACGCTCAAATAATGATGTGACACAAAGTGAACCTCAGAGCAGTTTTCCCAGTGGGAGAATGCACGCGCACCGCACCGTACGGCACCGCAAGGCTGTCGTTGAATATTTCACGCATGATGTGGAACATGCCTTCTAACGCATACAAAACTAATATTGTTCCAATGCTCTTATTATTACCATTTGTCAACTCTAGGAGCCGCAACCCATTCAGAAACCAAACATCGCTCTTCTCCCACCTTAACCCTCTTTTAAAGGCGCGCACCAGTGCACATCACACACTCTCCTCTTTCCTTTTCTGCACACGGCCGAAAGTTAATTAAAAATAATTCGGTTTTCCTTGTGTAGGGCGGGCGGGGGTGTCTTAAGTAGAATAACTAAAATGCTGTTATGTACAGCGCGGTGCGTAATGAAACGCATCATGCGGTCGACCAAGTCCATTATAACCGATATAAGTGTGTATTATTGCGTAAGTGGAGTTTGTTGGGCGGCCTTTCAACGACTGCACACGACCACTCCACTTCTCAAAAAAAGGAGAACCAGAAAAGGAAAAAAAAAAGTCGGGCACAATCATTTTTTTTTTCTACACTTTCACACACCGACCCAACCAACAACAACTAGAACAGATGAAAAGGAAATACATAATTAAAATGGCAGTGCTGAAGTTACTTCAGTTTATTTTAATTTTACTCCGAAGGGTTCATTAATTCTAATATTGTTTGCAACATTCTTTTATCTCATTAAATTATGTACATAGAAAATGTAGATCATTCGTAATATGTTTATTGGTTACTTTTTGTCTAAATTAAATTCATATTATATTTATATCATCTATACAGGAACAATATGAAAACAGCAAAATAAAACATTTTCTGAAATCTAGATTTAATTAATTACAGAAATATAAAGCAGTCAATAAAGCATTGTTATTTATACAATAGTATATCAATAACATGTATTAGCAATAAATATGTCGATATAAATATGTTTGATAGATTGACGTATGATTGGAAATCACTCGAGTAGCAAGAATTGCATTAGGTTTCAATTTTTTTATATTGTATTTTTTTTTTCGGTTGACAGCAATAGTTACTGCTTAGAGACATCAATCACTAAGGAAAGACACAAATATATATTTTACTCGTCGAATATAGGCGAAATCAATATCCGATTCGTTTCAAACTCATTTTAATTATTTTCTAAATTCGTTGCATATTGTAATAAACATGTATTTATTTTCCTTCTCATTTTAATTTTTAATTAAAAAGTTGTTGCAATAAATTCATATTTATTTTCGTGCAGAAATGTGAATATCATTAGCTATAATTATTCTGCTCTTTTTATTATTAATAAATTCGAAAGAATACACGAACGGGCATTTTGCCATTGCTGTCACCGCATTGTTACGCTCTTGCATCCATGATATTTTGAAGAAGTTGTATCCATGCGCCCACTAAGCACGTCAGTATTACAAAAAAATAAAACACATCACTATCATCGAAAACAAATACAAAAAAATAAACTAATGTACTTAATATCTTAAATAGATCAACGTCGCTTATTAAATTGAAAGATGTTGATTATCTAATTAGCGAAGAAATATATATTTATTTATTTTTTCATTTATCCAACGAAGCGATGACATTTTAAACGGAACATATGAGCGAGCAGTAACTAAACATGAAATGTACTTTCTACAAATTAAATTGGCTCAGAAACATATTTTTTTAGGCATCGAATGTAGGTTTTAGTTATGCACAATAACATTCGGCTCGGTTTTATTAAATCGAATATTTTACGACGGTTAAATAACAACGTTTCTTTTTTTTTTGCTCATCGATTATTATTATTATTACATAACGGTGATTTCATTGCGTTTGATATATATATAAATTCTTGTCTTATTTTTTAATTAAGATTTCGAAATACCGTTTTATTTCTGCACGAGATGAAATATGTGGAGACGTTTTTTAATAAGTACAAAACGGAGAAGAAGTAGTCACGGCGATAATTCCCAATAATAGGAATTAAAAGAAGAAGGCGAAAAAAAAAACGTTCGAAATAGAGGTATAAATGTGTCGTCCGTGTACATTATTTAAGTCATCAGCTCTGTTAATTCTCTTTATGTTATTATTGGAGCACAAGAAGAAATATCTTTTTTCTTGTTAATTTTAGAATCAAATATGAAAAGAAGTGTATTTTTGTACTGTAGGGTTTTAATTTATATATGGACCATTGTGATTTTCCCTCCTATTAATGATACCGAACATGTGTGTGTACACGGGGCTACGCTAAAGGAGATTAAGTCTTCATCTTTTCCTCTCTCTCGCTCTTTCTTTCTATTACTCTTCTTTTTTGTAGGCATTAAGACATGTAGGTGATAATAACTTTTATATAGAAATGGTGGTGGAAAGCGGGAGCGTAATCCTATGTTAGTCTGTTGAGCATTATAAGATTCTGTGCATTGTGGAGTGACGTGACAAATCCAAAGGGAATTCTCCTCGTCTAAGGTTTCCCTGTGTATCAGTGGCGCATCGTGGACTTTTTTTTTTT